TTCTTCCTGTTCAAAGGGAGTTTTTCTGTCCCACTGTCACCAAGCGTTTGCTCATACGGGGAGGTCTGACTGTCTTACTGTAGAGTCTTTACCGTACTGTGTAGGTGGGGTCACAGAGTTTTCCTAATCTATTAAAACATGTCTAATAATTGGTTTTATTTTCAACCTACATTTTCAGCCACCTTCTTAGTCTTCAGATACTAGATTGGTTTGTTGATAACATTGTTGAAATGTCAGACTTGGATGAAATCTGCTCGGCATTTAATAATGTTGACTTGTCAGGAAACGAAAAGGAAAAATAAAGCATCACTAAGAAGATTTGTTTTTCAAACTATGAGTCAGGTTTTGTTCCTTAAACTCAAAGCCCGGGCTGCTGATTTCCTGTGAGTGTCTGCGTCGACGCTCTGCAGAACGAGGCCCATCCGAGCTGCAGAGGAGATTTGCTCTGACAGCCTTTTAGTGCGGCATGAAGCCAGGAGCTGCAAGTCTTCCCGTCACATCCTGTGATGCTATTTTGTGCGACGCAGCAGCCTGCAGGTTAGACAGAGCGTGACTGGAAGGTGGTGGATTCAGTTCTGTCCGATACAGGCAGGCAGCATGTGTCCGTCAGCATCGGCCCGAGCGCCCGCGGCCGAGGCGGTGAAACGCGTACCTGCTGAGCTGCAGCTGTCGGTGTGTCTTTCAACTGATCTGCTGTTTGTATCAAACTGATCTGGAGCTGTCTGCTCTGGTGATCGGTTTGATCAGTGTGACATTTCTTCTGCAGGGCTTAGGAGACAGCTCCACAATGCATTCTGGGTATTTTAGGGGCTAAAGCAGCAGTTGTTGGTGGCTGTTTACATGAGCAGCAGATGTTACGGTGTGAGCTGCAAGGAGATCTTTGACGGGAAAACGTGCAGTAATTATGCATAACAGACTTCCCCTCTGATAAATAATCACGTACACGAGTCCTGCAGGAGCTGAACCTCAGCTCATTACAGCAACAAAATCAAGTAGAGTTCCTGTTAATTACAGTTATTGTTGCAGGAAGTGCTGTGGTGTAAATGCCTCACTCATCTACCAGGCTCAGCAAACGTGCCCCTCACAGATTTTTGGACACTTCATAGGCTGCGTTCACACTGCAGGCGAAAGCCCATCAAATCCGATTTTTTGACCCTCTGCGACCATCTATCCGATCATGGTGTGACAGTGTGAACGGCACAAATCCGATATTTTCAAATCCGATCTGGGTCACTTTCGTATGTGGTGCTGAATCTGATACATATCTGATGTTTCAGAAAGCGACTGCTGTTTGATGGTCACGTCGCATTAAATCCGTCTTTTACGTCACTGACACAAGACAGACGCCAATTATCAGCGCCGGAGAAGACATCGCGAACGCTTCCTGGCCATCCAGCGAAACTGTTGGGAAGACAACGTGAACATTTTATTTGTACTGTATAATCTGCAGCTATCCTTTGAAGCAGCGCTCCTCTAAAACAGCAATAAGGATCATTATTAGGTTATTTACATTATTATGTAAATAACAAAATAACTTAAAGCAAAAATTGGGAAACGTGAAGTCCGAAGTCTTTATATTAAGGGCCATCAGTCAAACATACTGTTGCTCTGGGTCTAAACAGAGCGCGTTGTGTGTGACGTCTTCTTTTGCGCATGCGGGCCGCTTTGAGCGTTCACACTAGAGCGCGTTTGCTGTCGCATTTTATTTGTAGTGTGAACGAGCAGACAAAAACATCAGAATTGAGCATCACGACCTGCAGAGTGAACGCAGCCAGCCTGTAAACTCAACTCTTTGAGTGGACGTCAGTGAGAGGAGCCACGTTGAGTTTGAATGAACACCTGTTACAGGAGCAATGATGGTTGTTCCCAGATCTGCCTCCACGTTCTCCGAGACACTTGAAAGAACTTCAAGAACTTTGTCTGGGAATCCTGATGCCTGAGAAACTGACTCAGCCTTCTGCTTCCTGGCTACAGCTCACTGATGAATAAAACTATGTTTCTGAATGTTGTGACATCGTGGAGCTGTGTGTGTGGCGGCTGAGTGATGTATGCGTGTTACCCACACTGCACCACCAACTGTATCAAGGCCTCTCTGGGCTTGACGTTGAAGCCGTTGTACTGGCTCGTCTGGCAGCGGTACGTCCCGCTCATCTCTCTGGTCACGTTGCTGATCCTCAGGATGCCGTCGTAGCTCTCCGTCTGAACGGAGCCGTCTGGCATCAGTGCCGTTGCCGCCGCCGCCACCCCGCTCTCCTCCACCCGAGACCACAGGATGATGGGTTTGGGTTTTCCAGAGACCAGGCACTGCAGGTCTACAGTGTCGCCTTCCTGAGCGATGAGGTGAGAGCGCCCCCTGGGGACGGTGAGCTCTGGAGGAACTACAGGGACAGAGACAGGATATCTGCTAACTGCCAAGGTTTGGACCCTTCAGAATAAAAGCTGTGCATGAGAAACCCCCGCACACAAACACATCCTCCAAACACACACGCACATATTTGTTTCAACCTTCAAACATTTAGAAAACACTTAAACTAAAAATGTAAACTGCATTAAATTACAAATAAATGAGCTACTAACTCTTTTACGCTGCGTCCGCACCTACACGGGTGTTTTAAAAACGTTTCTATGCGTTTGGACCTTTCGTCCACGTAAACGGCGTTTCGAATCACCGAAAACAAGTTTTTAAAAACTCCTTTTTTGCGTTCACGTGTGGACGATTCAGCGATGCTTCGTCTCCTGCTTTGCGTTGGTGTGGGCGCCCCGTCAAAAACCTGTCTGTGATGCCAGCAGTGTCCAAGCGTTTTCTTTTCTTTTCATACCGCGCGTGGTTGTTGAAGGAAGAGGAATAAAGTCCAGTGCTTTCTAATTAGGCAGCATTAATCCAGACTTTTGCCTAACGAGCTGGAGGAGGGTGACGTGGAGCGTCCTGCTGTGGCGCCCCTCATAAGGCTGCAGTGGGTATAATGTCTATGCTTTCTGACTCATCTGTGAGGTTAACGTTGCCTCCACACACAAAATGTTTTTGTTTCGTGTCTGATGGAGAACTCGTCCTTCATCTAGAGTGACACTGAGAGAGCTGCTGGACTGTTCTAGCATTTATTTTCCTTATAGGGATTCAGGAGTGACCCAAGCGTGACCTTCATGCGTCAGCGGGCGTCACGCACAGTTTGGACTAAAGCGGGAGTTCGATTACCCCCCGCCTCCTCTCGGGCTCTCTGACTGTTTCTTTCACTCTGCCAAGGTTATGAACAAACAGGAAGCCGCCGGCAGTCGTTCATCTGCCTGACATCTGTCTGAAGGTCTGCTCCTCTCTGTATCTGCAGAAGCTCAGAGCTTTGTACCACAGTTCAAGGACTAAACAACTATTATTTTAATCTTGGTGGCACAGAGGAAACCAGCCAATGACAAGTGTACATGAGTTCATTCCCACTGTATGTTTTTGAAATGATGCAGGATGCGTCAAACAGCTGTCACAGATGACAAGGTTCAAAGAAAACAACTCAGAGCTGCAAGATATTATTTCTGAAAACCCGATATGAGAAGAGGAGTGGGCGGTTTTATAATCAGCCTCAGTTCTGTGTGCGGCAAAGTTCACGCTTTATCTGAATGACTGTCATCAGCAGCTGTGAGGAGCTGCCCTATGCAGAGCTGACGAGCTGGCTGAGCGTGGTTCAGGGGTGACCGACTGCTTGGCCTTCAGTGCCGCAGCCCCATGTCCAATCAGGCTCTAGCGTTGATCACAACAGCTGCTTCGAAGGGGCTGCCAAGTCACCGGGGCAGCTGTGATTAGTGTGTATTTCATTAACGTGCATATTTGAGCTGGCAGCTGTTTGTTAACTCCACCTACCATAAGAGCTGGCCTCACCTGTGGTGGATGAAATGTTGACATCAATGCTAATCTCTGGGGTTCCTCCGTTCCTTAGTGATGCCACACAGGTGTAGGTGCCAAAGTCGGTGAACTTGAGGTCGATGATGTCGAGGTTGGTGGTTCCCGGCGAGACGTCTGTGTCAGTGTGGGTGATGACCATCCGCTCTGAACTCCTCAGAGGCCGCCCGTTCTTCAGCCAGCTGAACTGCAGTTCCTCTGGGGGCGTGGCCTCTACCTGGCAGCTGATCTTCACCTCCCGTCCAATCTGGATATTGTCATCATTGTGGTAAGGGTCAGGTGTGATCCAAAAGCGACCTTTACGGAGACCTACGTGACATAATGGACAAAGAAAGACAAACATTTGGGGACAGAGAAGATGACGTAGAGGACATAAACACTAAAACACATCCGTGTCCTCGACCGAACTTCCAACATATTCAGAGAACAATCCAGTTGTAAGTTGACAAAGATGTCAGTAAAGAAGATGAAGATGCTCAGGTGTTGTGGTTTGATGTGTCTGTGGAGGTGAGGGCTGAGTGTCCGTTTAAATAAGTGCGACTGAAATAAACAACGTGCTTTATCTGAGGGAGCACGAGTCCTTGAACGTCTCCGACAACAAGCGTTCAGCTTCATTCTTCATAAATAATTTTACTCCCAGCAGGACAAAAACAGACCATTCATCTGCCAGGTAAATTTAAAACCAGACATCAAACACGAGTGTGTGAAGAGGAGCTGAAAAGGAGTAACTTTATTACAAGTGTGAGTTAGCTGTCAACTATGTATCCAAATAAAGGTGGTATTTGGGGGTATTTATGGGGACAGCCTTAGCGTGGACCAAGATGAATATCAAAAACGATGAACTGCCGAACAGAGTGTCTGACTCAATGAGCCAATCTGAGCCTAGGAATGAACTGAGAGAGCAGCAGTTCAGCAGCAAGCCGACGGAGGGTCCAACAAGTTTGACATTTACCAGAAACAACCGCTGTTTTGTGGAACTCAGGTCCTTAAATTATTCAAAAGGCTGCAGCATCAACCTGACGGATTTATGAACAGTGTCCAACTCAAAACCTGCAACTGAATTTTTAGGATGACCAGTCAGGTTCTTATTATCTATTGGCATCTGTCACGCGTGCATTTGAACAGAAATGTTAGCTATATTACAAAGTACCCCTCTATATAAAGACTCAGGGGTTGGATGTTTTATGAATATACTTCATCTTTCAGAGCATCCACAGCTTTCCCTGCATGCTCTTGTTTCGTTGGGGTTCAAATTGTATTTAGTAAATCTTTAACCTCCAAAGACCCGAACTCTCCCACAGCAGCATTTTTAATTTCTCTTTGATGTTTGAATATTGGACCCGATGAATCTAAAAACAAAGAGGCAAGGCAGGGCAAGGCAAGTTTATTTGTATAGCACAATTCAACAACAAGGTGATTCAAAGTGCTTTACAGAGACATTAGAAACAAAAACAAATAAAAAGCATGATTTAAAATTGATTAAAACAAGCAAATAAACTAACTAATTAACAAACAAACAAAACAAAGTATATAAAATCAAAACAGATAAAATCAGAACAGTAGATAAAATCAGTAGTTAAATGTAAGTTTTGAAATTTAAGCTTAAAGTGTGGATTTGGTGCTTTATTCAAATGCAGCTGAGAACAGGTGAGTCTTCAACCTGGATTTAAATAAACTGAGTGTTTCAGCTGATCTGAGGCTTTCTGGGAGTTTGTTCCAGATATAAGGAGCATAAAAGCTGAATGCAGCTTCTCCGTGTCTGGTTCTGACTCTGGGAACTGATAAAAGACCGGATCCAGATGACCTGAGGGATCTGGAAGGTTCATACTGGGTCAGGAGGTCACTGATGTATTTTGGTCCTAAACCATTCAGAGCTTTATAGACCAGCATCAGAACTTTAAAGTCTATCCTCTGACGGACAGGCAGCCAGTGTAAAGACCTCAGAGCTGGACTGATGTGGTCCACTTTTTTGGTCTTAGTGAGGACTCGAGCAGCAGAGCTCTGAATGAGCTGTAGTTGTCTGACTACAGCTGTAGAGTCACCAGATTTGTTTTTACCCGATTTTTGTTCCTAAGAACAATGAGAGCCACACATTATTCGTTTTAAATTTTGATGGAACAGTGGCAGCATAATGTATTTTGGTCTAAATGACCCAAAATGTGATGTCCACATATGTGGATGCAGGTCCCAGGAGGTTAATATACTTTTTAAAGTTTGTAGCAAAAGCTCAAAATAATGACAGCTGTGCTCCCTCCTGGCAGACACACCTAAATGCTGCACCACTTTATCCTTGAATTAAAGCATTCATAAGATTTTCCAAAAAGTTGACCTTTGACCTTGAGGTTGTAGTCACTGTGAATCAAACTCCTCTGAGATTTTTAGTATCTGCGTCACCTCGATTTAACTTATTGAATTCACAATTGTTTCCATTTTAAACATGCTGGTTCTTTGCTGGTGGAGCACTCAAAGCCCTTCACAGGTGTCGTAGCGCCGAGCACTTGTTTTCTATCTAACAGTGCATCAGGAGGACCTCAGGATTCAGTTCATACATTGGCATGCAGACTGGGGCAGAAGGATCTAGATCAGGCAGATGACCTGCTCTACTTCCTTAGCTAAGGCTAACACTTTAAGTCAGTCTACTCACAGGGTTCGTACCTGTACACACACACATTTATGTATATATCGTGCTACAATTCACATTTGATAAATGTCGCCATTAATTCACTCTGACTTTTGCTGTTTTGCTTCCACCACGATAAAATGCACTTCCTGCACAGCTCTCTCTCTCTGCACTTCAAGAACAGCTTCCCGTCTCAAATCTCTGTTTTCTGCATTCGCTTATTACCCGTCAGTCTACCGTTGCTTACAGCGCTGTCGGCTGCTGTCTTTGTTACTTAAATGACCTCAGACAAGAAAGCCTCATTTCTGCTGTTCACTACTGAAGAAATTTAAACTTTTTCAAATTATGCAATATTGCAGAATATTTTTAAGTTTCTCTGCTATAAAAATCCAGGCCAGGAAAATCTCCTTCATGTTTTTCTGTTTTATCCTCAGTTACTTTGACACAAAGGCCTCTACTGTCATGCTCACACCTCTGTTAAAGTCCCACATGTATCAGTTCTGATAAATGATCAGAATTATAATATTTCTGACTGTCTCAGGCAAACCTGAATCGAATCAGGACCTTGTGAATCGGAGACGAATGGATTATAGAAATCAGTGATGATGCCCAGCCCTCATGAGCAGCCTAGGCCTGACAGAGGGGATGTAGCTGTGGGTAATAAGAAAAGATGAAAAGAACTATTGATACATTTTTTGTTAAGTTAAGGCCTGAACTGTCTGAAATTCATAGCCAGCTCTGACACGGAGCCATCAACCTCTGAATGCTGAAAAAGCACAGTGTATCCAGGAAACACATTATATGCTGCGATAACTGCCCAGGCGTCCCCTCTAACACCGCCTTTCAGCGGCAAGCAGGTTGTCAGAGGAGCCGATGAGATGATTAAGTTTAACATTGTCTACAATACTGCCAAAGAGTGCCAACGCACTTTAAGCACAAGCACTTTTTCAGTAACTTATCTTTCCTTAGAAATGTGCTCTAAATAAGGAACTTTGTGTTGACAAGATTGTTAGTGAATCATTTACAAGTTAATATTGTCTGTATGGACAGCAATTTCCCCACAAAGAATTGCACATGTAAAACTGCAGTGTTAAGCAATGCAGCTGAAAAATTTGGGTGTGCCTAACTGGTGGGGAATGGGTTAGGGTTAGTGGTGCGCCTTTTTTAAAAACCGTGGCAGAAGGTTAGTCTGGAGCCCTGACATAATGGCAGGTTGCTGTGTAGGCTTGTTTCCCACATCAGTATCTCATTAGTTCCTATCAGAGCAATGACACCCACATATTTTGTCTTGTCTCTTCATATTTTAAATTATTAGAATCACCCTTCCTGCTGTAGAGCAACTAATCCGTCTGAATGGGGCTTAATTATTACTGAAGCCATTTGTCCAGTTTAATCCTGGGACCGTCCACAGCAACGTGCTGCTCTTCACTCTAACTGCTGACAGGATTCATTACCCTCATCACGACTGTTCTGTCCAGACTGATCTGCGGCATCACGCGTGATGAAAACGCTTCATTTTCTGATTCCTTCATTGCAGACGTCATTCTAGGTGATGAAAAAATAACAACGTTTACAAAGTACCAAAGTGGCTCCAACTGAGACTTTACTGCTCAAGATGGTTAAAGAAGTGTAAACGAGTTACTGCGTTTTAGATGTTGCTTACTTTTTCCAATCTGATGATCCTACAGAACTCGTGTCACATTTTCATGTTTGTTGTACATGAATTGTTTGAATCTGTGTGATCACAGATGAATGTGCCTGATCCCATCTGCCGGTGGATCACTGACTTCCTGACGGACAGGAAGCAGCACTGTGAGGCTGGGAAAGAATGTCTCGGACTCCCGGACCATCAGCACCGGCTCCCCTCAGGGCTGTGTTCTTTCTCCTCTGCTCTTCTCCCTGTACACCAACTGCTGCACCTCCACCCACCAGTCTGTCAAGCTAATCAAGTTCTGCAGATGACACCACCGTCATTGGCTCATCTCGGACGGGGACGAGTCTGCCTACAGGAGGGAGGTTGAACGTCTGGTGTCCTGGTGCAGCCACAACAACCTGGTGCTGAATGCCCAGAAGACAGTGGAGATTATTGTGGACTTCAGGAAGCACACAGCCCCACTCCCCCCCATCATCCTGACTGACACCCCCATCACCTCTGTGGACTCATTCCGCTTCCTGGGTACCACCATCACCCAGGACCTGAAGTGGGAGCCCACCATCACCTCCGTCATCAAGAAAGCCCAGCAGAGGATGTACTTCCTGAGGCAGCTGAAGAAATTCAACCTGCCAACACGGACGATGATGCAAGTTCTACACTGCAATCATCGAGTCCATCCTCACCTCCTCCATCACCGTGTGGTACGCTGGAGCCACTATCAGGGACAAACAGAGACTGCAGCGTGTTGTGCGCTCTGCTGAGAAGGTGATTGGCTGCAGACTCCCATCTCTGCAGGACCTGTACACCTCCAGGACACTGCGGCGTGCAGCCCGGATCTCAGCTGACCCTTCTCACCCTGGACACAGTCTGTTTGACCTGCTCCCCTCAGGCAGGAGGCTCCGGTCCATTCGCACCAGAACCTCTCGCCATAAGAACAGTTTCTTCCCCTCTGCTGTCGGACACATGAACAATAACCACATGACTGTCTCCCCCACTAACACATGACCCTACGCTGTGTCACTGCATCATTCATGT